CTGGCCTCGAACTCACAGAGATCCGCCTGCCTCTGCCTCCCAAGTGCTGGAATTAAAGGCGTGCGCCACCACCGCCCAGCTCACATCTGCCTTTCTTAATACTACCCTGCCAAGCCACTTGAAGGTTACACCCTGGTCACGGCCACTGTCCAATCCTATAGGTCAAGTCCTATGTGCTGACTTGACCTTGAGTTATGTCTATGTCTATCACCCCAACATGAGGAGCTCCAAAGAGGAAAAGGGACTCAGGCATTTTTGGAAGCCACAAGCAGGGCACCAGCCATGCCAGGCTAGGACTGGGGATGCCCCTAGGCTTCATGATCCCTCTTGGAATCTTGCTCTGACCCCGTGTCCTCCCCAGCTCCCTCACTGCCCAGACTACCCCAGACAGAGCAGACACGGGGACCTACCAGGATGAGCATGTCCAGCTGCTGCTGTTTGAGTCTGCCCTCGGCAGCCAGCAACCGGCCCTCACTCTGGAACAGCTGCAGCTGCAACTCGTCTGCCTTCTCACCCAGCTCTCGAACCTGCTTTCGGAGCTCATCTTTGTCCTGGAAGCTCTGGGCACACTGGGCATGCAGCTCTTCCCTCGAGGCCATAGCCTGGAGAGATAGGAGAGGGCACACCCTCAGCCAGAGACCCGGCCGGTGATGCTCTCGGCTTTCATCTGCCTGTCCAGACCCCAGGCTCCAGCAAAGGCCCTGGCTGGATGTCAGCCACAGTTGTGCAGTTGGAGTGGCTGAACTGGGAGGATTCTCAAAGCAGTCAGGGCTGCTGTATGAAAGAACAGACACTGGGGTGGGGTAGCACATGCCCAGCATCCTTGCATTTGGGAGGCAGAAGCCGGATCAGTAGTTCAAGGTCCTCTTTGGACATATTTTGAGTTTGAGGCAAGGCTACGTAAGACACTGTCTCAGAACAATCAAAAATAAAGTTAATTTTAAAAGGAAAACTCAACAAAGAAGCCGCTGAAAATCTCTGTGACCAATACTCAAGGTAGTTCCTTGAGGTCCAACTAAGACATCATATGTCCCCAGTAGAGAGTCAGTATGTGTCTCTGTCCCACCCATGTGGCACGTTTTGTAAGTTCTGGATGCCACTTTACATCAAGAACATGATCAATGCCAGGTGGAGGAGGCACACCCTTTAATCCCAGCACTCGGGAGGCAGAGGCCGGCCTGGACTACAGAGTGAGTTTCAGGACAGCCAAGACTACACAGAGAAACCCTGTCTTGAAAAACAAAACAAGAACAAGATTGATGGCTGTTCTTAAAATGATCACCATGCTTTTTCTTTTGTTTCCTGGGAGACAGCTTCATTATCCCAAACTGGCGTAAAATTTACTATGTAGCTGAGGATGGCCTTGAATTTCTGATCCTCCTGCCTCTACCCCCAAAGCCTGTGACTGCAGGCATGTGCCACCAAACCTGGCTCAGCTGCTACTACTTTCTGTTGTTTTTGGCTTTGGGAGACAAGGTCTCCCATTGTAGCCCCAACTGGCTGGAACTCGCTGTGTAATCCAGGCTGGCCGTAATTCACAGCAATTATTTTGTCTCAGCCTCCAAATGCTGGGATTACAGGCATGAGCTGCTACTACCACCTATCCCAGGGAGCCACCACCAGCTCTTCTACCCGATGCCCTGCCCTCCACCCCCACCTGTGCAGCTGGCATCTCCCTCTCCTGTCCTCACCCTCACCAGCGCAGGGGCCACTGCGACTCCCCTGCCACATAAGCTCTTCCTGTGAGAGGCAGGCTTTCCTGTGTTTGTACAGGAGGCCCAGGTTCTTACAATGCTGCCAGGTCACCTCAGGTGTGAATACATAAAAAAGGCTTTGGCCACAGCTCCAAGGGCTGCTACACGGGCACCCCAGCATGCCTCCTCTTGTTTTCATCTTCTGAACACCAATGTGGCGCCTACCTGGTCCCGCTCAATGGAGACCTCCTCCATCTGCTGCAGGATAGCCTCGATCCGCTCCTTGTACATCTTGGCATCCTTGCGCAAGGCCAGGCACTGCAACTCGAACATCTCCCTTTCCTCCATGCACTACGGGAAGCACCAACGCTCAGCCCCGCCCACTCTCCATTGCCCACCCGGGCCCTGGGCTGGATGCAGGGGCAACAGCTCCAGAGCACACAAGGTCGGGCTAGCTGGGATGACGGGAAGGGCACTCGAGTCCCAGGCCACAGCAGGCTAGCCTGGTCTAAGACCACGGCCTCAGTTACCATTGGTCACACTGTAAACCCAAAGGGTGACCCTAGCTGTGGACATGACACCACTGTGCACCGGGAATTGGTGAAGGGGAGACTGTGAGCTAGATCCCAGACACCACCGTCCAGGTACCCAGTGGGCCTTGCCTGCTTGCCCTGGTCTCTCACCCGGGTCCGGAGGGCCTCAGCCTGGCGGAGGTCCTTGCGCAGGGAGAAGATGGTGTTGGCCTGTTCCTGGTGCTCCTTCAGTGCCTGGCGCCAGTCCTCCTCGAGAACTTGAATGTAGGGGCTGTTCCGGTCCAGCTTCCCCCCCTAGAGGTGGCAGAGGGCAACAAGCCTGGCCACTGCAGTTGTACCATCTGGCGTGCCCAGCCTGGACCCCTGCAGAAGGGGGCCCTGGTGTGCACTGCTGGTAGCCCTACCTGGACCGAGACCTCCAGCTCTTGCACTCGGGCCTGCAGCAAGTCCTTTTCCTGCTGTAGCTCCCACAGCAGCTCCTGGCTAGGCCGCTGCTCCATGGCATGCCTGAGCTTCAGTGTGTGTTTCCGCTCCACCTTGCAATCATCCTCCGCCTTCATGAGGCTGTGCCTGAGCCGGTCCACCTGTGGGTGGGTGGTCCGGTCAGCTGCAGCCTCCTCCAGACCCCACCCCCCCCGCGGGTGGGGCAAGTGATCACCTCGAGCTGCAGGTCGCGGTTCCGCATGAGCGCCGAGGCCTTCTCTTCACTCAGGTGCGTGAGGCGCATGGCCAGGTCGTAGTTCTCGTCCTTGCAGCGCTTCAGCTCCCGGCTGCTCAGCTCGCACTCTTCCTTGAGGCGCTGCACGCGCTCCTGGTGCTTTCGAAGGAGGCTGTCCTTCACCCGCAGCTCCTTGATGAAGTCGTCCTTGGAGCTCAGAAGGGCCGTCAGGTCCTGCACCTTCTTCTGCAGCTTCATGACCTCTGTCATCAGCAGCTGCGTCAGGCCCGATTCCCCTGAGGCATCTGGGGACCACGCAGTGTCAGATGGAGCCCGTGGCTGTCACCTGCAGACCTTATGCTTGTTCTTGTCCGGAAGTGTGTGCTTGGGGACCAGCAGTTTAAGGGGGAGCGGGAGCACTTCCGGAGTACTTCCGGAGCACTACCGGCCTCCCAGAGAGAGAAAGCTGGTGGGAAAGCTCCCTCAGGACTGAGTGTGTTCCCCAGGCCCAGTCGGCCTTGCTGCCCCTCACAGATGAACCGACCGACCGAGAGTCTAACTCATCACCCAGGACCATTCACATGCCAGGGCTCCAGTTGGCTCTGTCTCCTTTTATTTATTTATTTTCCTGAGACAAGGTCTCACTCTGTAGACCAGGCTGGCCTCTAACTCAGAGATCCGCCTGCCTGTCCCTCCAGAGTGCTGGGATTAAAGGTGTGTGCCACCATGCACTTTTATAATCATCTTTACGAGGTGAATGAGGACTGATAGGGATGTGGCTATTCCATCAGTAGAGGACACCTCTGTCCCCTCTGGAAACTGCAGGATTCTGCCCTTAGGTAAGAACTGGGCCCCGTGGAAATGGCACTTTAGAGGGGTCACTGCATCTCAGTGACTATTCTTAGGACGGGAGCAGAGGTCCCTAGGTCCCCCGTGCCCCCCCCCCCCGCCCCCCGATATACACCAGAGGGCTTGTGTCAGACACATTCACCCAGCTGCATCGCAGAAGCCAGGACCTGACCACCCACGGCACCAACCCACAACTCGTGCCCCTCACCAATGATCATGGAGAAGACCCGTGCTGGCTCCTTGCCAGTGACTTTCCTGTAGAGCTGAGGGTAGTAGAGTTCCAGACTCTCCAGGAAGGCTACGTAGCCCTTGTGGCCTGTCCGCTGCAGGATGTCCAGGAGCACACCTACCGGTGGAAGAGGCAGGGTCAAGGCCAAGGCCTGGGCAGGTGGGAGCTCTGGGGCCCAGGTGGGACAGTGGATCTCTGCTCTGGGTGGAGATCCCAAGCTGTGGACCCCCCACCGCTCACTCCTGGGGCCTACCTAGCAGAGGGATCTGGGCCATTGCATAGGCACCCTGCAGCTCTGTCTAGGCAGGGCAAGGTGCTGCCTCCAGTCTTGTGACTCTCACGGCCTGAGCAATGGTAGGCACTCCCCTCCCCTCCTCTGGGCAGTAGCAGGTAGGCATGACAAGAGGGGAGGACGCTCTCACTCAGACATCCCACATGGAGACAGAGCTGGGTGGGGACAAGGCCAGGGCAGCAGAGCACGCAGCAACCTCCGGCCACGTGTCTTGTGGGGATCACGAGGGACTAGAGCCTGGCCTGCTGGTGTGGGAGCAGCCCTCACCCACTTTCCGCTTGCGGATGACCAGGTTGGGGTCACTGAGCACCTGCTCCTCATCATCCGGGTTCAGAACCTTGCACTGGCGCAGATAGGGCGTGATCCGAGAGGGGTCAATCACAGAGATGAGCTTCACCCGGAAGCTCTCCAGGGCACTCCAGCACTCGTCGTCGTTCTCATAGTCCGACATGTCCTCTGTAGGTTCGCTGGGGAGAGCAGCTGAGGAAGTGCCCACCTCCTGTTGCCTGCTGGGCCTGGAGCAGTCAGCCTGCAACAGGACCCAGGTCTGTGAGGGCCGGGCCAGGGCTTGGGGCAGGGACACAAGGGGCTCATTCGCCTCATCTCAGCTCCACAGTTCCGGAGGGATAGCCCCTCCTCAGGCCACCCTGTCAAGCTCACCTTCCCCAAGCAGCTGTCCTGCCCCTCTGTCACCTCAAACTTTCTTCCTGAGTCACCTGGACATGTCAGGTTGGGGTCAAAGAGAACTCTCCGTGTCCAATGGCTCTCCTCTAGCTCCTGCCCTCTACACTGAAGTGCCCTGGTGCCCCCTGAAGGTAGATGAATGTAGGGAGGGGATTTGCCGCCATTAGCCATCCTACACTACTCCGTCTCGGGTGGTATGGACTCTGGCTGGCCAGTGTCCAGGTTGGGACTGAGAGGCGGGTTGCCTGGAGGCTTTTCTCACTCTGCCAGGGAGCCAGGCCCGTGTGTGACTTCCTCATTCTCTGACAGGCCCTGTGTCCTTCAAGCCTTCCGCTGTAGCCAGCCAGTGATGCAACAGCCCTCTGGCAGCTGCCTGTGACATGGTGTTATTCCGGGAGGGCAAGTGAGCATTGGCATGGGAGCATGTCTATCTCCCCGCCAGGCTGGGGTACACTGGATGGGCAGGCAATGTCATCCACCGTCTCCAGACATCTGCTACGGCTCCCCTCCAGTGTTTTGGGAGCTGGGCACCAGCAAACCCTGTGCTTTTCTGCTCCAGATGAGCTCTGGCCTCGGGCCACGTGCTGGGGATCAATCAGGCCAGCTGTTCACAGGGGGATTACTCGTGTGGGACTACCCGCCGCTTCTACCTGTGGACAGGTGAAGTCGCAGTGAAGTCGCAGTGAGGGCTTCAGTGACTCTAGGACTGAATTAAGGTGGCCATAGAGAGCCCCTGGCCCAGTCTCCAGCCCTTGGAGAACAGAGATCCTGCCCAGAGAAGCTGGATCACTAGCTCTAGACACAGCCATGGCAGGCTTGTTCTTCAGAAGCACTTCTCAGCTCCCTGCTGCACCTTTTTGTCAACCCAGTGGACGTTCCTCAGAACCCTGGCCAACTGCCTGCCATTCCAGCCCCATAGCCACACAGTCCCAGCACTGGAGGACTACGCTGCAATGAACAAGGATTAATCAAATGGAGGCTGAGAATGGAGAGGCCACCTGACTGTGGGCGCTTACTCCTGTGCTGGGTTATGTGCTCCAGGATCCCCAGCAGAGTCGCCACAGGCTTCCACCCACCTTCCAGGAAGGGTACACTGGCTGAACTTACCTCAGGGTCTTGTGGGAGCCACCTGCCAGCTGGCTGCTGCCTGGGCTATGGGTCTCTGGGAGTGTGGAGATGCTCCCTGACTGGAGAAGGGTGGAGCCAAGAGGGAGGCTGTGTACTTCCTGCTGAGTTCTGGTTGAGGCCACAGGCCAGCCGGTCCTCCCACAGGAGGACAGCCCCTGCTGGTCTGCCTTCTGATTGGCCTATTACGGAACAGAGCAGAGGGAAGCAGAAGTGTCCAGGGAGTAAAGGAGACCTCCCTGCCTGCCTGCCTGCCTGCCTGCCGTAAGCCCAGGACCAGGGCTGGAGCCACAGAGAAGAATCTCAACATCGGGCACTGTGGACGGGTGGTCCAAGGCCCTCCTGGATCCAGGCTTCTGAAAGCTGCTTCTCCAGCATGGCACTGTGTCTAATACCTTCACCTACCATCCAGGGACAGTGGTGCAGGGTAGGTGCGGCAGGACAGGGTCAGGACTACAGGGTAAAGGGTCTAGCCACAACCCTGGGCTCATAGACTCTGGCCATACCAAAGCTGACAGTCCACAATATGACACTCAGTAGAGATATGGTACCCCAATCCATCATTAGAGCATCCCACCCTGTGCCTTCTTCTCCTCTAGGACATGGAGTCAGGTTAGAGCTAATCCAGGGAGTTGCAGAGCCAGTCCAGGCACCAGGACAAGGCTTGGTCAAAATCCACAGGCTACAGGCAGCTAGAGTCCTCTATGGACTGTGTGCCACCGCCTCTACTTCAGGGTGGCCCTTCAAGAGTCAGCCTGAGATGGGCGTGGGGACCTGCCAGCCCTGCCCAGCCAGGGTAGCTGTTGGACAGGTGCTACTGCCCGGCCTGCTGGATTGAGTTAGGGCAGGAGCTCCCAGTGCTGCTGTGGGAAGGGCGGGAAGCTTATATAGAGCAGAGGTCCAAATGGCTCCTTCCTGTGTGGCCTTCTGCCTTTCTGCTGGCTCCTGTGGGGACAGTGGCCCTGAACTTCCAGAAGCAGGCAATAACAAGTCCTCTTTGGCCTTTGGAAGCCACGCTGCTAGGGACTGTGCTTTGCCTGGGTTTCCAGGATGGCAAAGAGGGGTTCACGGCTTTCCAGTCGCCCTAGGGAAACCAGCACCAGGCCTTCACAGCTGTCTCCAAATAGTAGAAACACAGATCGTGGTGTCTTCTTAAAGTGTTAATAAAAATGCCAAGCTCTTGGCCATAAGCCCGAGGTGAAGATCAATAGCACAAAGATACTTGAAAACCCCCAAGTGCTCCAAAATGAAGAAATCTAATGTGGAGGTTCGAGGGAGCCACTAAAAGACTGGTCCCTGGATGCATGATGGGCCCGATCAGTGGGCAGCCACGCTGCTTTGTGCATGATGAGCCATGGCTGGGTCCAAGGGTTACCCCTGTTGACAGCTGGACAAGCACCAGGGCCAGGCTGCTCACAACGGCCCTTTTTACTTTGCGTTGGACATTTCCCACAACAGAGGATGAAACACACGTAAGAGCCAAATCCTGGAGAGCCAAGGGGCCTGGGACTTGAGAGTCTGGGATCACAACAGTGACTAAGGGAAGGGAGAGGGAAGACCCAGCTGGGTCCTGGCTCCATGCCAAAGACATGCCTACTACCATCACGAGGGGGAGCTGCTGCTGTGATGGGTGCTGGTTCTGGGGACCCTGTCTAGGGAGGTACAGGCCAACTGACACAGTTTCATGAAGGCGATGAAGAGCTCTTTCTCCATTCTCCTGCTCTCTGGTGAAGCACTGGGTCCAGGGGCTGCTTGGGCAGCCTAGGGCGTGGGAGGCTCTTGGGACTGGCAGGCCACACATCCCCAGATACTGGTGGATGCCCAGCACTAGATGACAAAACCACAAAGGGCTATGGAGTGCTTTTAAAGAAAAAAATAGACCTTTACTTTATTCCTTCCAATAGTGGATTTCATGTGGTCACAGTTGAGCCTGTGACCACAGGGCCACTGCTCTCAGAGTCACTGTGGCTTGCTGCAGACAGGTTAGTCTGCAGGCCTGCAGCTTCCGGGCCTCCGCTTCCTCTCGCAGAAGGCTGTGGGCTTCTGGTCAAGCCTGGGCTCTGCCTCTTGCCTGGTGTAAGAGTGGGTTTCTGGAGCCCTTGAGTCCTTCTCCTGAAACACAGGGATACTCCTGATAGTGTTCTTACCCAGCAGGCCCCCGGCACCGAGACAGACCCCACAGATGGCATGCTGAAGCGGAGGGACAAGCTGGCACTGTGAGGACAGGCGGCACAACTTATGGCAGCTTTCTGAGCCAACTAGAACATCCTGGCTACCTACCGCTCACAGCTCCATCGCCTTCCTTGCTTACCTTGACCTGGACCCAGGGACTCAGCCAGGAAAGCAAGGGACAGTCTGGTTTGTGGTCAGAGACCACGGACAGGTAACTGTGCTGATGGGCTGCGTGTGGTGAACACCTGAGACTGACATTGAGTGGGCAGTGCCACCTCAGAAAAGCAGTCAGAGGGGACAGAACTCAGGCAGAGGGAGAAGTGCCAAGGCCTAGAGGCTCACTGGGCAACATGGGGCTGCAGGTGGGGAAGGACGGAGGCCAAGGGGCATCACGTGTTCCAAAAGCACCTCTAGAAGCCTTGCCCTGCCCACCTGCCTAAGTCCAGCCTTCAGACCTGCTAGCACCATCCCTGCCTCAGCTCAGCTGTTCCCAGAGCAGGCAGAGGAAGCCCACATTCTAAACTCTTCCTGGTTGCAGGGTGGCAGTCTCCACAGGGACTCACCTTGCTGCTCATAGCAGCTTCCGTTTCCGGGAATGCCGAGCATGCCGAGTCCTGAGCACGTCAAGGTCATCAGAAGCATCCAGGTGGGAGGGGGCAGAATCCTCACCAGGACCTGGAGCTCTCTGAAACAATAAAAAGTCAGGCCAGGGAAGACAAGAGTGAGCCTGGCCAGACTAGGCAGGGAATGGGAAGGGAGGACTCTCAGGACAGCCCTAGCATCAGGGACGGGCAGTTGCTTCCCCAGGCAGGGACACGCGAGCAGCCCTGCTAGCTTTCTACAGTCTGCCCCTCGGGCGGGGTCTCCAACCATTAGGCAATTCCATGGTATCTCCTGCTCGGAGGTGCTGGCCAATGGAAACAGAGACAAGAACACACCCTAGAGATGCCCAGGTCACCCGGAACTCGGGCAGCACCAGCAGGGATGTAGTGACAGCTGTGTGAAGGCCCCGCATTTCTAACCCTCGCAGGGGAAGAGGCCTGCTAGGGCTCCCTGGGAGTAATGGGTCTGCACATTTCGTCCCTAGGTTCCCATGGGAACCAGGCTGTCTTGCCAGGCCAGCTCTCTGTGAGCAAGAGACGCCTGGGAGAAACACCCACAAAAGCATGAACAAGGGCAACCCCCCCCCCCCACTGTACCCACAGCCCACCCCAGGGCCATGTGTTAGGCCTGCCTCTCTACCTTGAGTTTGGGTGTGTGCTGTATGTGTGGGGTGGGGCTACATCACAGAAGGCTGCCTCCCTCTTCTACAGCCAGTCCGGGAGAGGCAACTTCTGCTAAGAAGCCCTTGCACACCCGGCAGACTGGACAGGCTTCCTCCTCCTTCAGAAACCCACAGAATGCTGCCTTGCACAACGTCCACCTGCCCAGCTCACCACTCCCCACAAGCCAGACACAGGCAGGCAAGGCACTGCAGAACCCTTCGCCTGTCACCGCGTCCTTACCTGTCCCGGGTCTGTGGCTGCCGGGCTTGCTTGTGTGCTGCAGGCCAGGCAGTCCAACTGCCTGGCCCTGTCCTTGAGTTCCAGGTCACCCAGGTCTTCACTGTCACTTTCAGAACCAACAGCCATGGCTGGTGACAGGGTTGTAGGGACACCATTGGGTGGCAGAGTGGCCAGGAGCGCAGGGAGAGAGAAGACAGCTAGGAAACGTGTCTTTAGGAGGAGGTAGGCTGGGTTGTCCCGGAATTGCTTCTGTACCAGTTCCAAGGAAGTTTGTAGGGCTCCAGCCTTGGGCTCAGATTGGGACCCAGCTGCCTGGCTGGCGACCAGAGAGGAAGCCTTCTGTTCCAAGTCCTTTTTATGGAAGAGGAGGCTGGATAATGTTCTCAAGCTGCACAGTGAAGGGGGCTGATAGGGGATCCTGCTCCCCAGTGGGGGCACATGAGCACCTCGGCACCCCTTCAGCCATGGCAGTGTGGCTGCCCCACTCTCCTGGGAAAGCAGACTTAGGTCCAAGGCCTTCTTTTTGGGCCCAGATGTGGGTGGTACTTCCTGGGCCTGAGGACCTTTGGGCTCTGTGTCTGCACTGGCTGGAAGCTGTCCCAGGCAAGCAGGAGTCGTGGCAGGGGAAGGTGGCTGTTTTGCCGGGGATCCGATGGTCTCAGGGGTCGTCACTGACTGGGGGAGGCCCACCACAGCTGGCTCTGGGACAGAGAGCAGCTTCTGAGTTGTAAGCACCCAGTTGACAGGAAGGCTGGCCTTGGCTGCCAGGGGCTGCCCACTTGCCTGTGGGCCAAGAACTGGTGGTAGACTGAGGGGCTGCCCGGGCAGCTGACTGGGGCTGGGGGCTGCTGGGAGGAGGGGCAGGACCTTGGGCAGGCCCTGCTTCTGGGATGTGGCAGAGGCCTGAGACTGTCCTAGAGTACTCAGAGGGCAGCCTGTGGGGACCTGCCTGGGAGCCAGGGCCAGGCTCCTAAAAGCAGCAGGGGCCACAATCTGGGACCCTTTGTGGGAGGGGTTTAGGGGAATGGTTTGCAGGGTAGGGGGCTGCTTGTCTGTGGCTGAGATCCCAGCCACCTGCCAGGAGCCAGGAGAATTGGAACTGACCATCACTGGGGCCACAGGGACAGAGAGTTCCATGCTGGATGTTGCAGGGCCTGCCACTGGGGAACCCTGGGGGGCTGGGGGCGGAGGGGGCTGGAGGATCACAGGTGAGGAGATCAGCAACTGGCTGTTGATGGCAGCGAGGGCCTGAGTGGCCTTTCTGGCACGGGACTCACGGAGCCGCTTCTCACGAAGGAGCTCAGATACAGTCTTGGGCTTTGGCCGGAAGCCATGTGGGGCTGTTACTTGGAAGGAGGTATCCTCAGTCTCGCAGGATCCCAGCTGTGGACGCCCTTTGTTGCTGTCTCTCTTTGCAGTTTGCTGACCCGGCATGCTTGGGAG